CCAGGCTGAGGAGGAGAGAGAGAGAAAGTGGTACAGGGGAACAGGAAATAATACCAACACTAAAGAATAACTTCGACTTAAGAAAACTGATAACCAAGAACAGGAACTAACTCTGACTAGGCCGAGGGTAAAAGTAAGAAGTGAACACAACTAAAACACTACAAGAGGCTGGGATAAAGGAAAACAAGAATAAGACAAATCTAACCATAATAAGCAACATCAAATAATAAAGCTGGAATGACCAAGAAGGGTTAAATAAAAGTGGACTTAACTGATAAAGCTAAAAGAGGAACAGAAAATCACAGAAATGGAAAAACCCAGCTAAGGACCCAGAGTTCTGACAGTTTAAACAGTACGTTTTGAAAATCTGGCAATTTTCAATACATATCAAGACAGACCTTTTCTCTCTTTTATGAATTGTCTTGTCAAAACAAAAGTAGTCATGTGAAGTTTGTTTGCATACCACATTTCAGCAACAATACAGGTCAAAGTGCTCAACATGATCGAAAATAGCTTAAGGTTGTTGAATGTTACTGTATGATTTGCTACATACAATTTAATTTAATGTATTTGTGTCTTTTTTGTGTGGAGAGCTGTAATGTGAGCAAAGTCTTCATGGTTCCTCCACAGAGTGAAGCAGATCTCAGAGGTTCCTAGTGGTCAGTCAGCCCAACAGCATCAAACAGAGCTGGACTCCATATTTAAGGTCAGTATATGGACATCTACTGCTTTCTGTCTGTTGTGTTCATAGTCATCTCTATGCTGTAAATTATAAACCAGTGGATTGTCAGGCTGTGGTTTATGGCCTTTTCCATCAGCACCTATTGTTTTGTTCTAACAACCTCTCACAATTGGTTATTTAGCTCCATTATTGGAGCACAATGAACAGAAGAGACCCTACAAGAGTCTGTTGAGAGAAATTCCCCATTGAGTGAGAGTTGATGGAAATATTGTGTAAATGATTCAAATTACATTTACAATAAAATTCCACTGTTTAAAAAATGTTAATAGGTCCTCCCCCCAACTCACAAACCTCTGAATTTAATGTTTGTTCCCATCATTGGATAAACCATAGAGGTCTAAGTTTTCTATTACTCCATTTTAGGAGCTGAAAAAGAAGATTTTCACCTTTGCGGAAGGTGAGCTGAAAAAGATCCAAATGGTTCTGGGTTCAGATGACCCAGAAGGTTCAGATGAGAATAAGGAGGATGAAGTTTCAGAGAATAAACAGCAGATGAACAGCAGCAGAGAAGCATTTGAGAAGATCACACAGCTCTTCCTGAGGATGATGAACCAGGAGGAGCTGGCTGACCGTCTTCAGAGCAGTAAGATGATTTCTGTAAATAATGTTAATGCTGGGGAATTGATAAATTAATCTTTCTTTCAATTGTGGTAAGAGTTCGTCCAACAATCTTTAGGTTGCTGGTTTGATACTTCCTCTGTCCAGGCTGGTGCATAGCAGCCAGACCTCTGTTAGATATATATTTAGAGGCTCCAGAATGAGATTCAAATACATTTATTGCACCGTGGAATTATTT